CGCTTGCGCATAGCGAGCGACGGATTGGTAGTCCACATCCGGGTGCGTGGCGAGGTAATTACGAACCTGCGCGCACGTGGCGGGCAGTAACCCCTCTACGAACAGGGACTTCAACCGCCTGTCCGAGAATACCGTACCGCAGCGGAGTGCCTTGTCCCAGAGGTGGTTACTGTAGACCTCCTCCGTCATGTTTGAACTTTGACGGAAGGAGGTCACATCCCCAACCGCTTCGGAAATTACCTCGTCGGTAGCATAGGTGCGCAACAGAAAGTTGACCACCTGTGGGTATGTCCGGAGCAGCTCGCGCCGCTCCACGTCAACCGCCATGGTGTTTCCATTGAGACGGGACTGGAGTAAGGCGTGAGCCTGTCCGGTCAGGTAGAATTGGAAGCACCACACGGCGGCTCCTTCGGTAATCCCGTTGTGGTCGCACGCCATCTTGAGGCGTGCGAGGAATCCCAATACCGCAATCGGATCTTGACCGCTGAACGTGTGGGACCTCATCTGCACGTCCAGTTTTTTCCGGTAACGGTTAATGTGCCGCGCTACTGTAGAGTCGTAGCGCGAGTTACGCCGTTCCAGGCGGTATGTCTTGTAGTTGACGGCCTTGGTAAACAGGTCATTGAGGGACCTGATTACCGTGGGCTGTCGCTCGTCGCTCTTCGGGGCAGCCCGGCAGTGTCTGCTCGAGCGACGACGCTCCTTATCCGACTCGGTGTGGTAGTCTTCCGAGTCGGACGGGTCGTGCCGGTGCCGGTCTCGGCTTCTATCGCGGCGTGCCCTGTGGCCCCGCCTGCGAGAGTCTTCCGAACCGGATGGGTCATCATCGGAGGGGTATCCTCCCCCTCCGGCATCGCGGTATCGCCCGTGGCGTGCCTCGCGGTTATCGCGGTATCGCCAGCGGCGTCCCTCGCGGTCTTCATCCGTCCTGTGACAGGGTTCTTCTGCGTCGGAGTACCGGGTGTATTCCACTTCGGTCCTGTGCGTGCCGGGTGCACGTCTTCTGCTCAACCGGTACGGGTCCCGATTCTCTGTCTCGGGGAGCCCCAGGCGGTTGTCTGTCCCGCGGGGGTCGCCCGTATCGGCGAGTATGGGGAGGACATTTTCTGTGGTCCTCCCTGTAGCACCGTGGACGGTTGGGAGATAGATGGCTCTGCCCTCCGGGTGAGGGTCCATTCTATCAATCCCGGGTACGGCGCCGATCGGATCAGCGATATTAAAGCTTGAGTCCGGAACGGTTTCACGGCGCGGCGCCGGCGGCGGTACCGCGCCTCCCGTTTCGGTAAATGTCGTGGCCAGACGGATGGCCACGGCGGAGCTAATAGCTCCCTTTAGAGCCAATGCAGTCGGACATTCGTCCTCCTCGGCGGCGAGCGCTGCCACCACCTCGTCGCGTACGAGGGGGGCGATCTTCTCGTCCAGCAGGGCGCAGAGCGCGGTGTCCGCATGCTCCGCCACCAGTCTTGCTGCCGTTCAGTCGAGGCAAACCTGGACGACCTGAGGTAGTTCCTCAGCGAGGAAATCCTCCATCCAGGTTTGTAGTCGCGGGAGTAACACGCCGTACAGTACTTGTACGCGGTTCCCACCACCGGCCGGTAGCCCGGCGGTGGTGTCCGAAACGGAAGGGGTCTTCTGGCCCCTGGTAGACGGCGGGCGTAGCAGGGCTTCCGGATTGTCGATCCGGGGGCGCTGTGCGCCCCTGCCACTGCGGGTACTTGCTCGCCCGGAGGCGGTATCTTCTCCGGCGGAATCCGCACGGTTCATCGTCGATGATCACTGGCGATCGACGCGGTGATTTTCGACCTCTTTCAATCCGATCGGTAATTGCTCGCGCTGGTGAGCCAGTGCGGGCTCAACCTCTGTAGTTATACCCTCCACAAGAGTACCAAAATGTGGTATAACTACTTTCGTCCCGACCACTCGGAAACGAGGGGGGTTAGAGGTAAGGGAGCGCGCGCCGCTGGGTAACCCACGCGCGAACGCAGACCGTACGGATGGACTCGAAAAGAGGGAAGGCTCACGTGGCCGGTGACGCGCAGCCGGTCGGTAGTGTTAGATCCGGACGGCCGGTCACGGGTTAGAAGCCTGAGACTAAAAGGGAAACCGGAACGGGATAGCAATTAGCCGTAAAGGGAGGGGAGGCGAGTCTGCCTTCCGTTTACTGGAATGGGGGAGGTGCCCCCGGTCTTAACCCCTAAGTGGGACGCCAGGACACCTGTCCCGCTACAGTAGCTGGTACTTACTGTATACCAGCTACTGTGCTAAATTGGCAAATTTGTGCCATTAACTACTATTTACTAGTTAGCCACCGTACGGATTATACACGTGTGCCCGTGGCCACGGTCCCGGCTAACGGCTGTGCCACGTGTTACCCGTAGCCACGCCCGCTGTTACCGGCTGTCCCACGTCGGACCCTTGGGGTACTACTGTACACGGCGGCGGGCGCGTGTACGCCTGCTCGCTACAGTAGCACCCGCCCTCCCGCGCGGTTATCATCTCGCCGGGGGGTTGTGGTGCGGAATTGTACTACAACCGTTTATGGGTTCCCAGGCCAGTTGCACCAAGGGTTTCGTTTATGAACGATATTGTCTCTTTTGCATTGTAACCGCGATCAGCGGCAAAAATAACATCAGCCATGGGGGCTATGGCTCCCCTAGTTGGAGCCCCTCGCACGAACCTCAGCAGCCTTTTCCAAACGTCAACAATTTTCTGTCGAGGCCTCGAGTAATGGCATGCCAGAATTAATGGATTGAGCGCAGAGCACAGTGCATTGCTCACGGCACACAGTGCTTTAGAATGGTTGTTGAGTTGCTGTAAATTAGTGTACTGTGTGACAGCTCTAGAGCAAAGCCGAAGGTGATCATCATTGTAGTATAACCCCGCCTGGGCTTTATTTTAGATTAGATCAACTCAGAATCGGATCGGTTACTGTAGGGCTCGATGCTCTACAGTACCACCACGTGTACCCCCAAGTACAGTGGGCGCACGTGTACACGTGTACGCGCGGGACCGAAGAGCGCACACACACGTGTACTGTCAGCCCCGATGGCTGACAGTATTACAGTGTCGACCGACCGCCACAGTACGTCGCTACAGTACATCGGTACTGTACTATTATGATAGGTTATTATGTACCTTAAATATGGCGCGGACCGGCGGCGGTGGAGGAGGAGAAGCACGGACTTGTCACCCACCGACAGTCAAGGTCCGTCTTCCAGCTTACTTAACACGCGCGATCCGTCTTCGCGCGCCTTAAACGGAACAAACCGGGTAGGGGACACACGCGTACGCGAGCGAGCCTAGATCCGCCTCCGCCCGTCAGCGCTGGTACGTTACCCAGCGCTGCTCCGGGGCGTCGAGGCGTGGATCGGCCCGGGCGTACGCTCGTCCCCGACCATCCCACTCTACCACGCTACCAGAGCCCGCTTCCCTGTCTCGTTAGCAGTGTGTTCTCCCTGTCTTCTCCCCCGAAGGGTCTACGTCGAGCTAAAGCATACACACCTCTACGTCAGGGGGGTGTCTATGCTACAATCATCCAGCAAGAAAGCGTCGCACCAGGTATATATAAAAGGCGGCGGTTCACCGCCGTACACTCTTGTTCCATTTCTTTGATAAGCGCGTTGACTTGTGATGGCTTGTTAGCCCATCTCATCGTAGTGTACTGGACCCGTGCCCTTTTCTGTTTTGTGCAGCTCAAAGCTGACCAAACGTCCTTGTGGCGGTCAGCAGCAACAGCCATCTGAAAAAAAGCTGCTGTTTTCGCGAGACGATACCGTGGTGACTGACTCACCGTATGAAGAGCACAGTACGTACTGCGCAATAATAGCCATAAGTTCTGAGAGTTCAACGGCTGTTCTATTACGAGACACCAGCACCCGATTTATTGCTTCCCGGACCTTCTCGAGCACACTATTCGGCAACGGAGCTTTGAATAGTTCCAGTCGACTCGGAACGAATGCATCGATATTCCCCAAATGACGATTCTGACCATCATAATCTGCACCTCGCACTTCTTCGCAAACATTGCTGAGAACTGCACTGGCCTCCTTCAGAAAGAGTGGGGCGAGATTCTCATCGACATTATCCACAACTCTTTCAATTTTCGCAAAAGCAGATAAATAATCCCAGCCAGGAAGTCCTGCCCGCCTTTGTGCGCTCGACGTAGCGTCTTCGGTGTCACCAAAGACGTGTTGATTGGACGGAATGGAAACGGAATCATCATTCTCTACAGTACATACATGAGCCTGTAAAGGTTCTGCATCTTCCCCCATAAATATGCCGGACAAATAGTCTTCGATAACATTTTGAGCTGCATTCACAGCCGAACTATCTCTTTGAACTGCTGAGGAGGTAGAATTTTGGATAGTAGCCAATTCTTCTTCGTGATTCTGGCATCAGACGAAATGCTTTCACCATCAGAACATGAAACTTCTTGCATATCGGCAAGTTATTGTGAGAAAGAACGATCTCCTTCTTTGATTGACCGGCTTCGTGGAGCCTCATTCGCGTTTTGTAGCGGCTGGAGGGCGGGTGGGGTTTCAGGCACTTCAATATGAACAGAATCTAGAGTACTAAAATGACCGGTTTGTCCCTGACCACACATTGGGGGTTCCATATGACAGCTATTGCCAATGAAATTATTTCCATTTCAAATTCCGATCGTTCCGCCTGATGAGACATTGCCCCGCAGACAGCATTAGCAACGTGTTCGTCTTCAGAGGAGGAGTGGTTGAAACCATGGTCACTTCCGAGAACAGGGTCAGCAGGGACTACAGCTTTCGATTGCTGATTAGTGCTGTAGGCGTTGTTTGACATATTGTTGCGGGGGGAAACGTGATGGGGACGACAGAATAGGATGGAGACAACGGAAGTTTGTAAATGGATGGATCGGGTGATTGTAGAGCGACAAAAGGTAGAAGGATTCTCGGGGGAGCGGCAGAACTTTGAGAGCTGGAAGGGGTGAGAAAGTGATGTCACCCAGGTCTGAGTGTCCTTCAGTGATGATCGGAGAGAAAAAAGTGATATTTTGCAGTGATTCTGAGCGACCTCACTCGTTTTGCGTGCACAGTAGTGATGATCACAACACTGTTGTGAATGTTCACTGCACTGTGGTGAATGTTCACATCACTGAAGTGATCACTCACTCAAATTCAAGTGATGAAATCACCAAAAAACATCACTTTTTCTACCTGCTGGTCACCATCCCTCACCATTTCTGAGTGATTGAAAAATCATCACTCTGGGAGCATAGGGATAGCGGCTTGAGAATCGCATTTTACTGGGCGCGTCGACTAAGTGGAATCTTCTGCAGCGTACAAAAGAGGGAAATAGGTGATTTTGTCTTCAGGAAAGGTCTGTGTTCAGGAAGCGTCAGTGGGCGCGAAACGCAGCCTGATGCGCGCCACTACTTCGCTCATGGCGATGCTATCGGCATGAGACATGCATGCATGGGACGTATGCACGGGTTGACGATGAATAGGTAGGATACTGTACCCAGGGTACAAGATGGTACAGGATGGACATGGATACATGCCGTTTCGAAAGCAATGCAGGCCTGTTGCGTGGTGAAAGCCGCCAGCTGTTGAAGGTGGTGTGGAAACGAGCCAATTGCTGCGCAATGGCAGTGGCAATACGTAGCTCAGGCACGTGCCTCAGGAGGCACAGTGCCCTTCTCTGGTCAGATCTTGAGATATAGAGAGAGAGAGAGTACGGGCGCATACGTATCATGGTATGGTAAGGGAATGAGAGGCGTTCGTTGAAGAGATGGTGCGAGATGCACGGTTCTGTATCAAAAAAAAAAAAAAACAAGCAAGTGCAACTCAATGACAGAAGAAAGTAGAGGATGGGTGCCAAGTATGTAACATGTTAGGCTACGGCGCGTCGCTCTCTCCTGTCTCGGCCGCCGGCTTCAACAAGAGCAACAAGGTCAAAAAAAGGCAACAGGCACTGTCGTTGTTGAATTATGTACACGTCAGTAGTTTGTTTTTATGTTCCCCCAACCGCGGGGGGAAGAGATTCAGAACTGTTAGCGAAAAAACCTGACACTACTATATACGCACACGAGGTTGCGACAGAGAAAAAATTAGACGAAACGTCGCAAGGGGCAGGTATCACCGATTCAAACCCGGGACGACCTGGGGCTGCTCCGTATCCTCATCTTCCTTGATCCTAGCAAAGCGTCCCTTCACGCGGGGCCGTGCATCGGCGAGCTTCTTGCGGCAGTCGTAGCGAATAAGTTTTCCAAACCTGCGCTCTCTGCGCTTTTGCCTAAACCTGACCAACGCAGCCTCCCTGGTCTTCTTCTTAAACTCGCGAATGAGCTCCTGCTTCTCGTGCTCGATACGATCCTTTCGCTCTGCCTAATTCTCGGGCTTGACGGCGCCCTGGGGGCGGTGTTGCATGTGCCCGGCATGGGCGGGCGGCATGACCATGCCTTGAGGGAAGCCCGGGTGCTGGGGACCGGCAAACATGACCATGCCTTGCGGGGCATACATGGGCCCGGGGGCGGAGGGCATCATCATTTGCGGGTGCTGACCGAACATGAACATGCCGTGCGGGTGCTGGTGGGGGTGCGACGGGAGGAAGAAGGGGTGCTGGACCGGGTGCTGGACGGGAGCAGCAGCAGAGGCGGCGGCGGCGGAAGCCTTGGGGTCGGAGGAGGAGACGGTGTGTGGAGATTGTGGAGAGACTGGGGAGGAGTTGGAGGGGACCTTTGCGTCGCCGCTGTTTGGCGAGACGTGTCGCTGTTGGTGGTGTGCGGAGTGCTGAACCGGGTAGGAGGATGTGTCGGGGGAGGGGAGGGATGCAATAAGCTT